CAGATCGAAATATATGAGCACTTAAAAATCTTGAAAATTGATCATCCGAAAATTCATTACAAGGTGCATTATGTCCATCACTTGAAATCCATTTTTTTTCATATTCATACATCTTGAGGTCGCGATGATCAATTTGAGGATTTTTGGACATCAAAACAATTTCTTCCAGTGAAATTTTTGAGGTACGCTTTAATTTGATTGTTTAGGGCCTCGTCCTCGTATCAACAATTTCTTATTTATTTGTTAGCTTGTATTTATTATTATTTTTTTTGAATTTATAGATATATTCATTAAATTTAATCTATTTATTGGTTTTAATTAGTAGGAATATGATGATGGTTGCCCCGAATGAAGGCCAGTTTATGCAATTGCTCTTGAAGCTGATTAGTGCAAAGAAAACGATTGAGATTGGTGTTTATACTGGATACTCTTTACTTGTCAAAGCTCTCTCCTTGCCTGAAGATGGAAAAGTATGCCACTTTTCTTTTAACATAAAATAGATTTTGTTCCACATTTCCTTTATTTCATGGAATTTCGTAGTTTCTATTGATTTGGCCACCACTTTTTATTTTTCTTGGGGTTGATTTAGTCATCTTATAAGTCTTATAAAAGAAAAAAAAATCAAAATCAAGAATTCAACAAAAAATTGGTTTGAAAGAAAATGACTGAAAATTTTGGGAAAAAACAAAAAATCCTTGAGACAAATTTTTTTATTTGATTCAAAAATGCCTTCACCGCTTTTTTAGATCGATATTCTATGAACATTTTGTGAATAGTTTGACCTGATTTGGTAAAATAATGAGTAAGAAATTGAATATTGTCGATTTTCTGTTTAAAGATCTCAAAGCTTGGACTCTATTTCTTCAAACAAGGACTTTGAGCCAACAATTTGAATCTAATTCCAAGTTGTTTTGTTGCTATTTAACAAAGGAATTTAAAAAGAGCGAAACAAAAATTTACAAAAAATTCACAACACTTTCATGAAAGAATCTCGTAAAAATCGAAATTTGATGAGCCTAAACTTTTTGGATAAAAAATAGGTCGATCTATATTCAAATCGACTAATTGGAAGTTTCAAATAGTTTTGATGAAATATTTGATTAAAAAATATATAGAAATATGTCTATAGATACTTTTTTTCCCCTTTCATAAGAAATAAAGAAGGAAAAATATAGAATGGGACCATTTACCTTTTATACAAGGTGGTCACATTAATCTTGACCATTGAATGTAAGGTTGCAATTATTCCATTGATCATGCCCAAACTTCAAAAGGAATTTTCTTGAATTTTGTGACACATCCAAGTTATCAAATTTCATATCAAATATTTGTAAGGACTTGTGACCACCTTGTATTAAAGGTAAATAAGGAAACTACAAAATAAGACAATATCGAAAACATGGGAAACGATATCATGTCACTATGCTATTATAAATAATGCAACCATACTTCTAGAAAACTATGTTTGTGGTATTTGTATGAGCTAAAATTTTTCATTTACATTCCCTTCATCTCAATAATCAATTTAAAAAAATAAAATAATTTGCACCACATATATGGTCAAAATGAGTCCCTTCCAATAATGAATCTAGACTATCTACTTGGTGAATTTCAAGATATAGGCCTTTATGAATTCAAAATCAATTATTTTTTTTAATATTTTTAACCTAATGATAATAAAGTTGTCTAAAGAATTTGGGAAGAAAAAAGATCATTCTAAGGCCTAAATCTACACATCCCACCAAAATGGATGGTGTGTGTTAAGTAGGCTAAAAAAATAATTTTTATATTGCATTTTCAAATTTTTTTTGGTGATTGTTCATTAGAATGAAAAGAGTGTATATTTAAAATTTAGGTCGAACAAATGACCCTAACATGATTTTTGAAGATTGTTTCATTATATTCCTATACAACCGTTGCATGAAATAACTCCCCCATAAACATTGCTATGAGTTATTGATATTGTCTTATTAGTTAATTACTTAGATTGTGAATTAAATCTCTTTTTCTCCCGTTCAAGAATAATTGTAATCATCACCTTCGACTAGCGTGCATGTATTGCATTTTTTAAACTTTGTTTTCAAGGTCCATCTGAACTCTTCAATTGTTTTTCTTTTTTCTTTTATATTCTTTTTTTTTGGCAAAATTGATTTGTACATCTCATTTTTGTAAAACATTTATCAAGAGATCCAATGTTTCAAAACTTTTCTTATGGTAATCTTTTGTATCTTCCAACCTCCTAGACCCAAAAATCCCTTTTGACCGCATATTACTGACCTAAAAAAAATATGAAATATCATTTTTTTTCCCTTTTATCTAAACTCCTTTCACCACATTTATTTTGGAAGTATATATGTTGGAGATGGACCATCCTCAAATCCTTTCAAAACGATCCAAACTCTGTGAACCAAACTTCCTTTTTTGACCATGGTTCCTTCTCACGTTTCTTCTCCTCAAACTCGAAACCACAACAGCAAAGGATGCCGCTTGGAACCAGGCAATTTCATGGACGATTTTGCCACTATGTTGTACCAAATTAACTGTAAAAATTAAATTGAACTGTCCTTACCAATGATTTCATGGCTGAAGAGGACTCGAGAACCAGTAGCTTCAATGAAGCTAGATCGAGCTCTAGGATTTTCATGAAGACTAGCTTCACTTAGGGCTAGGGTTTGGGCAAAGAGAGAACTGCCATGAAAGTAGCAGAGGCTTAGTAGAGCTCGAGCTTTTACCTAATAGCCAACTCAAGCCTGCAAATATTAGGCCCCCTCCTTTTGTGTTAAATTTACAGAGACAAAATTACCCTCCTTTTTAGGAGGTTTCTCAGCACCTAGCGCGGTTCTCAGGCCACCGAAAAGTCAATGGTATTGGAATTGCCCGGTCAATGTTAATGTTTCAGGTCTTTATAAGAGGACTTTAGCGAAAAATCAAGGGGGCATAAACTTTCCAGTAATTTTTGGACTTACCTCACAGCAAGAATTCAGGTGTTATAGAGTAAGAGGGATGCTTAGATAAATGGGGAAAATGAGTCATTTCATATATTTTTTGGGTCAATAATATGTGGTCAAGGGGGTTGTTTGAGTCCCAGGGGTTGGAAGATTCAAAAGATTGAAAATCCTTGGGTCTCTTGAGAATAGGTTTAAAAAATAGGAAGTACAATGGTTTTGTTTTGTTTTAGCTTCTTTTTTTTTAAGTGAACATAGGATCCCTTATCGGGGATAAGCATAAAACTCAAGACATCACATTGTGGTTTCCTCCACTGAACCTATGAACCTACGTACCTTTGAGTCCAAAACTTAAGAGAGGCGAAATTATCCATTACCATTATATTGCCATTACATTTATTGTTCGCGACACTTTCAAAACAAGCATTGTACTTCAAAACAACCATTGTACTCCTTGAATCCCTAAAACCATTTTGGAAACATCAGAAGCATCGTTATCTTCAAATTGATGACCACCATACCCTACTGGATTTATTTATTTATTTTATACAAATAGTACAAAATTTTATTAATCAAAAGAAAGAAGCGAGTGCATCAAATAAAACAAACATATATGCAATAGCAATGGACTCCATAGAATAGAAGTACCCCTCTTGACAAAACTATCTGCAATGTCACTGGCATATCTCTAAACATGGTGAAAACATATTTCCATCCCAAGTATCCACAACTTCAGCCCAAACCGACGGTACTCTCTACGGTGGCCTACTCTGCTTATTACAACAATTTATGATATTTCAAGAATCACCTTCTGACACACAACACCAACCAATGAACGTTTTTTTAACCAATTTCAGCCCTTGCAAAAGACATTGAAATTCAGCCTCATTTATCGTTGTAAAGAAGTTCCCTAGAGGAATTCCTAACCAACCTGCTAGGCTCAGATTCCCAAAAGAATATCTATGAAAATTTAGCTTGATGCAACCATCCATAGGTGGATTCCATCTTCCCTTAGGCTTAAGGTAAACTTCAGAACCGATGATAATAGATTTTAGATTAAGAATGATATCTACCTTTGAACAGCTCGTCCCTTGTTTGGTGATGCAAAACCAGTTCCACAGAGTATTTTGGATTATATTTATAACATCCTCCAACTCTCGAAGCACTCCTTCAAACATCCTTGTGTTCCTCTCCTTCCAAAGGGTTTTCCAACATCACAAGTTTTGATCAACTAAAGGGTTTTTAATGTCGTTTTCTAACATTGAAACAATCTTTGCAGGTGGGTTCTGAGGTGCATCTTACTTTTTGTAGTACAAAATCGACGCATTACATAATTTTTTTTCCTTAAGATACTAATAAAATGACAATAATGAGGTTCACGACTATGATTTTGATTTCAGGTAACAGCTATAGATGTCGATAACAAGGCATATGAAGAGGTTGGATTGCCCATCATCCAAAAAGCTGGGGTAGAACACAAGATCAATTTCATCCACTCTCCTGGTATTCCCTACTTGGATGAATTGCTTCAAGATGTGAGCTCTCTCTCTCTCTCTCTCTCTCTCTCTAT